ACTCGATCGTCGAAGAAACACGGGCGCGATTCATCGAACATGGGTTGTTGGCCCCCGATGGCTCTGAGGGCGACTTGTTGAGAGGCGTGGTTGGGTACGGTCATATTGGAGATGGTATGTTGTACTCTTCCGATTCCTGATCTCTCTGAACACCCATCATGATGATAATGCTGATTAAAATCGGTTATCATAGGCAATTTGCATTTGAATGTGATCGCCAAAAAATGGGATCCAAGGATTGAAGAAGTCTTAGAACCATGGATATACGAGAAGATCTCGAGCCACAACGGCTCTATCTCAGCCGAACATGGCTTAGGTCTCATGAAATCTCCTTACCTCCACTACTCGCAACCGCCTTCAAATATCTCGCTCATGAAGTCTATCAAACACTTGTTCGACCCTTTGAATATCCTCAATCCTTCTAAATTCCTTCCTTAACCTTCCTCTTCTTGTTTTTTCTCACTTCGCTTGGTCCCTTTTCTTTTGGATATATACACGTTTTTGGTTCCTGCATCTTGCAACCTCTTTTCATTATGTGGTCATACGAGTCCTATGCGAACGTTGCTGATGATGATCACAAGTAGTCACTTAAGATATGCTTAGCAATAGCTGGTACCTTGCTTGATTTCTTTCCGCAACCTGATTCCACGTTGATCTTGATTTTTTTTCTCGATCTTGATCTTGCTCGGATTGTTCGAGATAAAATAAAATGTGATTGGGTTTTTGATATCAGATGAAAGCACCACTTCCTCCTTGACTGCTTGAACTGAATGGATATTTCTCAATGTATGAACAAAAGGTACAAACAGATTGAGGTAATTGTCAATTGTTAAGCAGCTATTGCCAAACTATAAGCTGGCCACTCCGAGTTCAAAACTAACGTGTCAAACACCCTGTTTGCCTTCTTTTATTAGAATGATCCACACTTTTCTTGTGATCTTTTTGAGAAAATCTTGACTTAAATAAAGCTCCTCTGAAAATAATAGCTAAAGAACCGAGTATCAAAGATGGTTAACCAGTGCAGTATAGGTTACATGGAGATGGTATTGATGAAGTTGTGAACCCCCTAGGATGAGGATGAGGATATCAATCTGCAAGGTTGCCTATTAATACAATTGAACTCCTCCAGGATAGCTGCCACAAAAAGCAAAGTTCTATTACTCAACCAACTGAACTCATTGATACGATTTCGAAGATGAGCTTCGTCAAGACTGACTCGTCGATCACCATCAAGACCTCGACTGCTCAGGCAGAGATCGCATTCCATGGGGCTCACGTCTGTAAGTAGTATGATCCCCCTCTGATGGCTGACTTCCTTTTTGGCTTGGACATATCTCTGAATAAAATACTTATCTCGCTTCAAGACTCGTGGAAGGTCGAGGGGAAAGAGCAGTTGTTCTTGTCCTCTGCGTCCTCGATCTCTGGACCGGCTGCCATTAGGTATCTATTTCACTCCGTCCAGTCAAATGTCTAAAGAAGCTTATCCGCATTTTTATTCTGTCTCTGGAAACCTGCTGGTGTTTGAAGAGGTGGAATCCCGATCTGCTTCCCAGGTATGTACGAACAATTTACTATCGGGGAACCAACATTATTAGTCGTTCTAAAGTTGTCCATGGCATGTAGTCTTTGGCCCACCACCTTCAAGAGAACCGTATGCAAGTCTCAAGCAACACGGCTTTGCACGAAACACCAGCTGGAAATTCGATGGAGTTGAAGAAGGAAGCGATTGGATAGAGGCCCGCTTCAGTTGAGTTTTCCGACCTCGATATCAACATTTGTAGCTCACCTTCCAAGCGATGTTATCCGAACTAAATTTTTTTTTTTTTCAATCTTGGACAATGATAATCATATATGCAGGCTTAGATTCGAATAACCCCGAGGTCCAGAAAGTGTTCAAGCCAGCCTTCGAATGTCAGTACAGAGTCAAGATTAGAGAGCGAAGTCTGGTGACCAGTCTGGAGGTGACGAACCCCTCGGAGACGACGTTCGAGCTGCAAGCGCTCCTGCACACCTATCTCCGTCTGCCCGACCAAGGATCGCCCCAGGATGTCCGTCTGGGCCCACTGAAGGGCTTGTCGTTTGCTGACAAAGTGGCCCAGGGCGCGGTGGATACCGAGGATCGAGAGGCCGTCGACTTCCTGGCGGGCGAGGTCGATCGGGTCTATCATGGCGTACCATCTAAGATCGAGGTGGAGCTAGGACACGGCAAGAAAATGACGATCAAGACCGATGGACTACCGGACGTGAGTCCCCAAATACCTGTATTGCCCTGTCAAAGTCCTGATCGATAGTCGTTTTTTTTGCACTCTTCAGCTGACCGTCTGGAACCCTCACGAGGCAAGAGTAACGCGATGGCCGACATGGAAAACGAGGGCTGGAAACGGTTCGTGTGTATCGAGCCTGGCCAAACCAGTTTCGTCTCCGTCAAGCCGAACGGTTCTTGGAAGGGCTCTCAAGAACTCGTCGCTCATCTATGAACGAAACCGCCCGCTTCGGACTATCAAAGCTTGCCTCGAAGAAGGAAGTCCTTCACTCACTTCCAGATCCTGTCTACTTGATTCCTCCAACTTCGAACATGATGTCCCCTTCCTCCACTTGTATCCCCTGATCTTGACCGACTTTATATATCTCAGTAAAAACATCGCTGCCGCCGGCTTTCCATAAGTCTCTCTGCTGTTGTTGTTTGACCTCGCAATTCGCTTCCTAGAGTAGAGATAATGTCATAATATTATCCTTATTCTCCTCTGAATTGACTGACTTATATCACAGGCATTCCGCGACTACCATCGATTTTGGCGATCGTTGGGACTTGCGGAGTCACTTCTCATCTCATAAAAGAAAATTGGTCTGATTGATTCGTTTTGAAACCAAAGGAAAAGATGAATATCTTTTTAAAAGCAAAATTTTCCCTTCATTTTTATGATTTACTTATACTAACAATTCACAAACTACAAACAAACAAACAAACAAAAGAAAACTCTTGATGTTTTTTTTGGATTGAAAATCATGGTACATTGGATGACTTCCCGTCGCGGTTTACAACCCTCCCAGGATCTGATTTATACCCCCTAGATCTTGATTTTTGGTATAAAAAATTATTTTTTTCACAAGCCTTGTGAAGATAGCTCTCATGTGAGCTGGTTGGAATTATGATTGAGGTGTTAATTTAGGACTGGGGAGGGCTTAAAAAGCACTCTAAATGGCAAAAAGAAGTCCTCCATTGATTAATTGAAAACAATTAAACCAATTAGAAATTTCCAAAAAAAAAAAAACAAATTTCTCTTGTGGTCCTCTTATTTTGAATCTTGGACAAGTTACTCAAATGGCCTCCATTCTCTGCTTTAGTTTGGGAGGTTGTTTGTGTAACTATTGGGGATCATTCTTCTGAACCTCTTATGGAAAAAAGAAGAAAACCCCATCTATGTTGGATAGCGATAGCAGGGAATCGGGACTTTGAGTGTACTCATCAACTGTGTAGCACGTCGAATGATACACTAATTCTGCATGATAAAATGACCTGTGGACCTACATGCCATACACTGTAGAAGTGCAGTAAGAAATACATGTGAATGCACTCCTACAGTGGAGGACTTCCGGTTGTCCAAATCTGTTAATTTAGAAGGACATCCTAATTAACGTTATTTGGTGGCAAAAATTGATCAAGATCAAGTTTTCACCAGCCAATAGAGTTTAGGACCCCCTTCTAGATCAAGCAATTCAGGCAACGGGACCTCCTCCAGTGTAATATTGGAACTCAGACTGTGAAAGTATGTAGTTCCGTGCAGAATAGACTCAGAGTCTGACTCAGAGGTATCTCCCGAGTCCTCTCAGGTGCTGTGCTGCGGTGAGTCAGAGGCATGTAATTTTTTTAGGGATAGGGGATAGGGATTGGGGATTGGGAATGGGGATACATATTTATGCTACCAAGCAAAAGTGTTCTGAGGGGGGGAGGATGGCGGGATTGGGAGCGGGATTGTATCCCAAACCACCGTTTTTGCACTACAGGAGTGCATTCAAATGTAATTCTTACTGCACCTCTATAGTGCAAAACAGGTAGGTCTAAAGGTTGATAAAATGAGGAAAAAGAGGTCCTGTTCTGGCACTTTTTGCAGGGAGACAGCATCATCCAACTTGGTTTCTTTGTAGGGCTATGTGCAGAAAACAGCCAGAACAGTCAATAAGGTGATATGAGGGTATCAATCAAAACCCTTGCAGGTTCAAAGGATGTTCTTCTAGACTAAGAAACATGTCAGTAAACCAACATCAAGCACTTAATAGTCTGAAAATTTGATTCAATCTTGATACCACATTAACGGCCACCAGGACCCAGGAAACCCTCTGTAGATGTCACTGTGAGTAACATAAAATTCCAGATTTTCAGAAAATTCATACATTTTTGGGACTCATTCATACACATTTTGTGCCTAGGCTCAGAGGTCTGCCAAAAATTCCATACAATTTTTGTGCCCAACATTTTTTTTGGCTGGCGGCTAGAATTTTGTATATTTTTTGTCTGTACCATTTTTTCCCGCCAGGAAGCACATAGCCAAGCTTTCTTTACAGCTAGTCATTCCTGCTAGCAACTTGTGCTTTTGAAAAATGAAAAAAAAAAATCAAGAAATATTGGCCATTGCATACAGTATGTAGTGGGAGGAACTTAAAATTATTGACTATCATCAGCCTTTTCTTTTTGAGAGATTTGATTCTTAGGAATTCTTTTTGCCAAAAACTGACAAGGGGGTTTAAAAAAATCTGATGGGGGTGTTAAAAAATCTTGACGGGCGGTGACATGATGGGTCACTGGCAAGGGGGGGGGGGGGGGGTGCTACAAAAAAGAAAATAATAATAATAATAATAACGAATCATTCATTTTTGGTTACTAACCTGCATTGTTCCCCAAAAATTCCATACATTTCAGGTGAGTAACATTTTGCCCAAAAATGCTCATTCATACATTTTTGGTGAGTATCATTTTGGGTTTTTGCCAAAACATTCAGACATTTTGGTTACTGACATTTATGGGGGGTTTCCTGTGTCCTCGGTCACCCCTCCATCTCTGTGTCCAATAAGATAGTTTAATCTTTGACTTGTATTTAAACAATCTTCCAGCTCGAATTTTAAGCTCTCCTTCTGGAATTTCAGATTTCCTTTCCCATGGGATCAAGTTCAGTGATTTTACTTGGGGTAGGTAATTCCTTTGGTAAAGCGGAAGCTTCCCCATGGAGAAACATTTATATCTGTACTTGATCAGAAATTCAAGCATATTTCCATCTTCTCCAAAAAGTGCACACCACTTTTCGTGATTCATATTTTTGTAATAAAATCCAAGAACGATCACGGCGATCTCTGTGAGAATTATGCTCCGCTTGGATACAACTGAAGAGTTCGCTCGTCGAGAATTCGAGTTCTTGACTGTGTAAACGTTGTAGTTGCTCTTCAAAAGAACCAAGTCCGATATCAGTTTATCTACCCGGTCCGCTTCATTTTTCGCATCCAAATTTTGAATTTTGAATCTTTGGCGTTTCCCTTTGGAGAAAAAATAATCGGAAAACGTTCGAGCCAATTTTTGCTGTTTCTTGAAATCAGGTTGTAGAGTGTCACAGCCCAAAGCGCCGAGTATTGTAGCATTAATGAACCAAAAATGATGCAGGAGCCTTTCTATCGTTTGAGGAATATGGTTGTTCTCTCCTTGTTTGCCCAATTGTTCATCTACTGCTTTGAAGCAAGCCTGGAGGACCTTGGTTGATTTCGAATGTGGCTTAAATTTACCAAACTCTTCTTGCAATTCTAGTCTGGATATCCATCCCCATACAATATCATCAGTATGCCTTAACAAAAAATTTTTGTGAATACGAAGTTGGTCGGTGTCTCCGCCTTCGAGAGGATCAATTAATGTAACATATTTATTCACTCGAATATTGCCCCTATCAGCATAAAATCTTAAAGTATTTGACTGCAACGGAGTATTCCATGGTATCAGAGCTCCGAAAATTGTGGAGGAAGAGTGCTTTGGTGGCTTCCTGACCAGTCTGTCATTCCACTTCTTTCCAAAGCTGACAAGTTTGAGTACAAAATTAACATCGTCTTCAAAGATATGGTGCCATTTCTCTTCGTTTGTGTTCTTGTAGTAAAAAATGAGAGCATGAATCGCCGCTTCATTCATCAATAGTTGCTTGGATGTAACTGAAATACCTGACAACAACACGTGTTTTCGAAACACTCGATAGACCGGCGGTCCTTCTTGGGCGTTGAAAGCTTCCGTAATTTTTTGATAAAGAAATTCCCCTTTGATTTTTGCACACTGCTCAGGGTCCTTGCACACCAACATGAAATCAATAAACCACTTCAGGAAAGCTTCCTGTTGATGAATGTAAGTAAGTCGGTCCTTGGTCGCCCCCAAAAGGTCTAAAGTTCTCCAACTAAGGGCCCACAGTAAATAAGCAAATTCTTCTGCTTCCGTTGACGGTTTGGAAGCTCCATGAGAGCTTTCTCCTACGATTGAATTTGTCATTCGAAGATTATCGCGGAGGAAGCATGCAGACTTCAATTTTAAAATCGACGGTCCAAGAGATTCGTTTACTTCACCAACTACTAGCTCGTGGACGCGCATCCGAATGACCGAAAGCCACGCCCAAAATGGAGAATCAAAGGACGCCAAACCAAAAGTCTGACTAATCCCCATATCTGTGGGGGGCCTGTGGTCTAACGTCATCCCAACATTTTTGCCAGGAAGCCATTCCTGCTGGAGGGAGGAGCTGGCTCCCTGCGAGCCGGTTTGTATCCTCTTCAGGGCTTGAATATCTGCAAAAGGAGATACATTTCCAATTCCGTGTGTAGTCGGTATAGTGAATGTGCCACTATTTTCGTGGGGACTTGCAGCCGCTTGAGAGGTCGAAGCCCTCATATCTGTCTCTTGGTTAAAATAATGGATCCGCGGGTGACTATCTGTGCCAGAAAGCTGATTGGACACAGAACGGATAGGATTTGTTGGGGTATTTGATCCTGCGAAATGTAACCAAAAACACTGGTCAGTTGTCTGGTCACCAGTTGAGAAGGCTTTGGCCTACCACCAGAATACCGCGCAGAACCCAGGAATCCTGGAACATCTTCCTCCGACGATTCTGCGGGATCTAAGTTCAGGTCCAGTCGATATTTCTTTGGAACTGGCTGATGAAGCTCGACATCTTCGGCATTGAGGTCGAATAAAACCGCCGACGTTCTTTTCGTACTACCCCCCGGAGCGACAGGTCCTGAAAAATATAATGCAGCTTATCATTGGCACAGCTGCCTGAGCCTCATGAACCGTATTAATGTAAAAAACCAGTCTTACTAAACAGGTCAAGCTCGAGTGGTACCAGCCTTAATGTTTGTCCTGGCCATGGATTCACTTTCCCTTGAGACGAGTAATCGGCCAAGGATGGAAATATTTGCAATATTGGCGAATCCGCAGGACCTTGTACTGGTCTTTTCCAGCTACCGCTCGGGTCGACAGCACCTGGAGCAAATAATGCAGTGAATCTTTAAAAACACCATCTTCCATCTTATCAATCGTAGGGCAACGAACCAGTTTGAGCAAGCTGTCCTGAAGTTATCGGCCCTGCACTCGATGCTTGTCTTGAATACATGGTTTGTCTTCCTTGGGGTGGCGATTCGGCCGAAGGTGATGATAGTTGTAGCAGAAGCGGATCCCGAGGGCTTTGTGCGTCTGTTTGTCGGAAGTTAGTTTGAAGAAAGCTATCCCTTGGTCCCGGAGACCAGGCACCTGAAATCGAAGTGATCCCCTCTGTCGAGGTTGCTGAAAGGAAGGGGACTTGGGGCAGCAGGACGAATGCAATCTTTAGGCATCTCTTCATTTTCAAAAATCTCGACTTCAAGATACGATTGCCATATTTGCACACAAGCAGGTTTATATCCCATCGGGACTAGGTAGTAGGATGGTTAGAAACTTGTAACTAATTTATGCTGCAACTTTCATATTATCAATTAGAATGTCCCCACCTCGATATACAGCAAAAGAAGGTGTTGATCTTTGTTCGATGCCAGGAAAGTTAAATTTGTCCCATGAATGCGCTCTGGGTCTGGAGGAGAAGTCACCTGAAAGTTCCCTGAGGCTGAAACCTACTGAAAATTATGTCTTTTAACATCTCTATACTCCGGCATGAATAGATCAAAACCCCTCAAGGGCGCCCGGACGCGACCGAAACCCTAAGCAACAGAAGCATAGATGCCAAGTGTGAACCGATTATGAAACCAAACGTAAGCTCTTTCTATTTTATTAGTATGTAGGATTTCGTGTCTCAACAGACCATTATCACCTGCCACCGCATTCTCAACATGTGCAAAGACTCACTGAATGTCTCACGATGGAGATTCACTTCAAGTTTGGGCTTCCTGAAACTCAGGAAGGGTGTTTCCTTCATTGAAAGTTCCTTATCAAAGAAAAATCACTCTTTAATTTCTCCCTTTTTCTGTCATCTGTTCCATTTGATGATCATCTTTTGCCAAAAATCTGAAATTTTATGTCATGCTCATTGAAATTGAGACTTGATGGAAAAAAAAACTTCTTTATATGTACCATTGCTGTTTTACTTCATTTCTTATTTTTGTTAAAAAAACTGTAATTAGGCCTGCCACATCAAGCACGCCATGATGTATACTCATTTGAAATTGAGACTTGATGGAAAAAAAAACTTCTTTATATGTACCATTGCTGTTTTACTTCATTTCTTATTTTTGTTAAAAAAACTGTAATTAGGCCTGCCACATCAAGCACGCCATGATGTATACTCATAGCATGATTTTAATTGAACTTGGGAGATCAGAGCTCAGTTGCCCAGGAATGATTTACAATCACTCAATGTGAAGTAACATCTGACATTACAAAGACAATTGTTTAATTTTGAACTTCACTTGTCACCAAGTGATCATCAATTTTTCCCTGGTGATTGAAACCACTGAAGTACACTTTGGAGCATTTTTTTGATTTTGGCACTACAGCAGAGACAACACTGGGCTGTCTATGCTCAAGGTAGTGTTAGTGTGGTGCAGCCGATGTTGGGCCAGCTACACTAACTTTAGTGTAAGTGTGGGCTATGCTGCCTTAAACTGCTTTTTAGCAGCTTTTTGGCTGCTAAAAGTTCTCTAGTGTAGCGGTGTGCTAACACTACACAAAACAATGGCCATTGTTAGCGCCGCTACAAAGTAGCACACCACAGCGGAAGTAGTGGTGCACTAATACTACACAAAAATAGTGCCTCTACGCTAAAACTAAGCGGACTTTTAGCATAGTATAATGTAGCAGCCCACTGCTCTTGCAGCACATCAAAATTCTGCTCAAAATTAGTGCAGCAAAGCAGACTTCTCAGCCAGATCTGTGCTAATGCTATGTGCACAGGCCCCAAAGATACAACCACTATGTTACCCTAAAGCTTCCCAATACTTATTTTGAATTGATAATAAAAACAAGACAGGCATTCAAAATGATGGAAAGTAGATTTTGGAGACTTGTTCATGGTTGGAAAAATGAAAAAAAAAACCAATAGGGGGTATCAAATAGAGAAAATCCACCAATAGAAACCAGTCACTTTTTCCAAAAAAAAACTTGCATTAATGGGTCCCTTAACATGTTTAAAAAATGGTGGATTTTGTAAAACCAGTCAATTAAATAAGGGCCTTAATAAAAAAACCCGCATTTTCCGCGTTTTGACGCGCTTTTGCTGCGGCACAGCACACGCGCATTCCGCTTTTAAACCCGCATTTTTAATTAATTTTTTTTTGCCATTAATTTCGAGTTTTTTTGATTTTTTAAAGTTGTTTCCTACACTTTAAAAGGTGTAGAATTTAATGGTAAACACCATTTTCCATAAAAATGAATTTTGATTATTAATTATTTTTTCTCACTCATTTTTCAAGTAATTGTTTGCTTTAAGTTTTTTACCTCATTTTTCAAGATTTTGTGTAACTTTAAAGTTGTTTCCTACATTATCAAGTGTGTAGAAATTTATGGTGAAATCCAATTTTCATAAAAATGAATGGATCATTTTTAATAATGCAATTACACCCATTTTTTCACTCAAATTTTTAGAGCTCAATTTTCATTCTGTTTTCACATTTTGAACTTTTTTCCTACACTTTCAGACATGTATAAACTGATGGTAAAAATTATTTTGAATCAAAGTGAGAACTACATCTTGTATACTGCATTTGACACCATTTTTTTTATTTAATTCTTCACTTTTTCACTCAATTGTTTGCAATAATTTTTTTACCTTATTTTTTCTGCTTTTTTGAAATTTGAAAGTTGTTTCCTACATTTCAAAGTGTTTAGAATTTACTGGTAACATTAAATTTCCATAAAACTCAACTGTTCATTCTGAATACTGTAATCAGCCTTAAAATTCAATTGATTTTTAAGAGCTTAGTTTTCATTATTTTTGTACGTTTTAAATTTGTTTCCTACACTGTCAGACATGTATAAAATGATGGTAATAACCATTTTGCATCACAATGAAAAATTGTTCTTGAATAACGCATTCCACATGTTTTTTTAATTAATTCTTACACGCTTAATTATCCTTATTTTATGAAATTTTAAGTTCATTTCCTACACTTTGAAAGGTTTTCAAATTGTTGGCTGTATCGATTTTGCATTCAAATAAAATTTGTATACAGTACAAATTATGCAAGAAATAGTGTACACTCTTATATTAAGATTGAAGCTTTTCTTTTGAGGCAAAATGAATTCTACCATTAAATTCTACACACTCTTGGATGTAGGAAATAAATTTAAAATTTCAAAAAATGATCAAAATTAAGCCAGTAAAAATCAATCAAAAAAACATCAAAAAAAGCCTGTCACACGCAGTATTCATTAAAAATCTTTGGTTTTTATGCAAAAAGATTTTTACCATCATTTTAACCATGTCTTAAAGTGTGGGAAATAAATTTAAAAAGTGAAAAAAGAATGAAAATTAAGCTGTAAAAATTTAAGTGAAAAAAGGGTCTAATTTCAGTATTCAAAGTGAACCGTTGAGTTTTAAAAAATTTGGATTGCGCCATTAAATTCTGCATGCTTTAAAACCTAGGAAATAATTTTAAAACCTCAAAAAAACTTAAAAAATAAAGGACATACATGCATGCAAACAATTACTTGAAAAATGAGTGAAAAAAAATAATTAATAATCAAAATTAATTTTTATGGAAAATGGACTTTACCATTAAATTCTACATCCTTCAAAGTGTAGGAAAAAATTTCAAAAAATCAAAAAAACTCGAAATTAATGGCAAAAAAAAATTAATTAAAAATGCGGGTTTAAAAGCGGAATGCGCGTGTGCTGTGCCGCAGCAAAAGCGCGTCAAAACGCGGAAAATGCGGGTTTTTTTATTAAGGCCCTTAAATAATGGTGGATTTGGTTATATTTGATACCCCCTAATGGTGACAAACAGTCCAATCACTCACATTGCTTGTAAATAAGACCAATTTTGGGGGCCAAGCACAGTTGAATGAGGGATTTTGGAAATTCAATCCAACATCTTATTTTTTTTGCTCAGTCAAGGACTTGAAGTTTCCAAGGGAACTTTTGAATTGATTTCGGATTCAACTGGCACATATTTTTTAAGTGCTAATCACATTGGCTGGGTACAAGGAAGGAACATTAGTGTGGTAAATGTGATCATCATGCAAGAATATGATGGATGTTGGTGCCCCACACTGCTGAAACAGGCTGAAACTGCAGTGCTGTGGTATTTTTATTTAATGCTGGTTTCAACATTGGACAGGTTAATAATTGCCATCATTAGGGTTTCTGACATTGGTTTTGGTATTTTGTTGTTCTTGTGAGACAAAGGTTACAAGCACTGATATTCTCTGGTCATTCTTACATTATGTGAGGTTTGAATTGGGGGGTATTTGAATCCAACCATGAGATACACATCAGTTTTCCAAATAATTTTGGTTCATCAATAAATTTTGACAGGGATTTTGTAAGCATTTCTGTGCAAGAACTGAGGGCCTGTACCCTATGACATGAAAATTCAATTTCTCAAAATTTATCTTGCTCAAAAGTTCATAATGACCATGACCAAAAGCCAGTGCTCGTCTTGAAAGCAAAGAATTTCAACAATTGATATCTCCAATTGTTCCGGATTTTTGTGCAGAAGACAGAAAAAATGCCAATTTTCCAAAATTGAACCCCCTGAATTTTTGAATATATTTTTATGAATTCATGATCCACCTTTGAAACCGCTTTTGAGAAACATGTGTGTATTATTACCCCCAGATGATATGAATGAATGGTTTGAAATACAAATATTTTGCTAAGATGGGATGATAAAGTAAAATAAAAATTATGTATGTATGACAATCAGATTAATGAGCAAAAGGATTACTTGTACTACTTGATCTCTTCTTGTGTCAGACTCAAATTAGATTCTGCTAGTTTGAATTTTAAATGTTGTACCACTCCTTTCAGCCTATATTTTCTTTTTTTAATCTTGTCACTGTGTTGAACCATCATCAGGTGCCTATTGATTTTTACTTGTTTTTTCAGGCTGCCTTTTTTTCTGAAAGGCAGCTCGCCCAACTCACAGCACTTCACTGGGAAGGTTGGCTTGTACTCTTCTGATGAATTGGAGAACCATTGGAGTTGAGCTCCCATTTTGTCATCCATTTCTCAAAGACCATCTTTGGTTTGGTCTTGAATAATCTTCTAGCTTGATCGGGCAGATTTCCACTCGAAAACTTTGACTGCGAGACCCATGGAATGACCTGCAGCAATCTGATGTTTGGGAGGAATTTACCTTTGTACAAGGGCAGCTTTCCCATGGCAAATCCTTTACCGCGGTGCTTGATCAGAAAATTCACCAGGTTTTCGTCGTCTTCGAACAGGACCTCCCACTTCTCCTTGTTCCGATTTTTGTAGTAGAATCCGAGAATGGTCACCGCAATCTTGGTCATAATGATGTCTTCCTTGAATATATTCGACGTCCCCGCTTCTTTCGAATTGGAGTTTTTGATCGTATATGCAATTTCATCTTGGTCGATAGGAATCAAATCCAGAAGAAGCGTGTCAATCTCTTCCTTCCCGCTAACTCCCTGCACCTGGTATCGCTCGTACTTCCCTTGAGAAAAAAAATATTCGGCGAATGATCGAACCAGTTCTTGCTCTTCATCAAAGTCTCTTCCTGGGATCTCACAACCCAAAGCTTCGAGGATTGCAAAATTCATGATCCAAACATGAAAGAATAGTCTGATCAGCTTTCTAGGAATATTTTCTTGATGCTTGGATAGATATTTAATTTTCTCTTCTTTGCCTAATTTATTTTCAATCACTTCTTTGATATAAGTTCTGAGAATTTTGGCTGATTCGCGACGTGGTCTATAGTTTTCAACTTGCCGAGGAGCGGCATCCTCTACTTTTGATTCTAACTTGGATATCCACGCCCACGACAATTCGCCCACCTTTGTTAACGAGAAAGGTTGCCATATTTTGAGTTGATTTGTATCTACGCGTTCGCCAGGATCAAGTAACCTGACAAATTTTTCAAATTGAATAAGTCCCTTATCCGCATAGTATCTCGAAGGTTTTGAATCCAACGCTGCTCTCCAGGGGATTAAATTTGAGACATTTTCTTCAGTAGAGTCCCATGATCGTATCCGTCTCTTAACCAGTCTGTCTAACCACCGCGAGCCAAAATTAGCCAGCTTCAGAAGGAAACTGATGTCTTGTTTGAAGAGATAGCGCCATTTTATGAAGTTTGTGTTTTTATAGTAATACGTAACGGTATGCGCGGCTGCTTCATTCATCAGCAATTGCTTACTCGAAACCAGAATCGGCGATTTCGTCACGTTCTTGCGATCTACTCGATATACCAGTAGATGTTCCTTGCATTCGAGAGCTGTCATTATCTTTTGGTAAACATAATCGCCCCGAGTATTGAAACATTCGGAAGGGACCTTGCATATCTGCATGAAACGAATAAACCAATGTAGGAAATCTTTCTGTTCTTTCATGTAAATCGGACTGGAATGTGTGGCTTTGAGTCCCAGAAGATCAAGGGTTCTCCAGTGCACAGCCCACAGTAAATAGGCGAACTTGGTCAATTCGGTTTCCATTTGTGAAGCCTCGCGAGAGCTTTCTCCCATCCTGGGATCTAGGGCCTCAAGACGCTCACGAGGAATGCATGTGGATATCAATTCTGAGAGTTCTGGGCCGCAAGACTTGTTGACTTCGTCGACAGCCATGTCTTGAGTCCGACTCCAAATGATCGAAATCCAAGCCCAAAAGATGCCGTCGAAGCACTCCAAGTGAAAGGTCTGTCTCGCCTCCAGTTCTGTAATTAGACTGTCATCTAATACCCTTCCACTATCCTTAACGGTGAGCAGGTACTTCTGGAAAGCGGACTTTGCCTTCCGATGATCAATTGGCGTCTGCTCCGGGACTTGACTATCTGGAGAGGAGGATGCAATAGCAAGCCCATCTCTCGGGGGTAGGTTGGACGTGTCGCTGCTTTTGTGAAGGCTTGAAGCTACCTGGGGGGTCGCAACCCTCGCATCCGTGTCTTGAGTTAGGTGATGGTAACTTGGCTGATTGTGACTCGGCTCCTGAGCATGTGGGCCAGAATGTTGATTCGACTGCGAAGAGACTGCATGGGTTGGGGGATTTGAGCCTAAGAAATTTAGCCAAAACCATGGTTCAGCTTTCTGGTCACCAGGCAAGACAGCTTTGTGGTATACTATAAGTACCATCAGAGTACCCAGTTGGAGATTCCGAACGTGCAGTAGTGGTATCCTCTGCGTCTTCGTCCGAAGAATACGTGGGCTCCAAGTTCAGGTCCAATCGATATTTCTTTGGAGCGGGCAGGCGATGCTCGAAATCTTCGGCATCGGGAACAAATGGAGCCGCAGATGTTCTTTTCCTGCTCCTACCGACGGTGGCAGAGTCTGAAAAATATGGTGGATCGGTATCAGCAGGCACTTTGAAATAAGCATAACATTCTCATTCTCTTCAACTTTACGGCAACAAACCGATTTGGCGCAATAGGTCCAGAGTTAATGGTGCTGTTGTTAATGTTTGTCCTGAATGTGGATTTTCCTTTTCTTCGGAATCGGATGGAGAAATGGTTGCAGCTGGAAATGATAGGGAGAGAGGTTGGTCCGGACCCCTTTGCCCGCTCGTGAGGCCTTCCCAGTTACATTGGAAAAAGCTCCGCCTTGGTTCCTCGGATGATCCAGCGGAAGTCCATGGAATATCTGATGTCCAGGGTGCTGTGAGGAAGTGGACATGAGGTAAGATAATGAGCACGAAAATCAATACATTTCCCATGTTTTAAAAAACCTTTTGGATTTATTTAGTAATGGAATGGCAGGTTCAATCTTCACCTAGACTCGGACGAGAAGCACCCTAAAACTCTATTTGTCTAGTGATGCTTACCCGGGCTCCTGTACAGGAGCTGAAGGTGTTTGTTCCTTTTGCAGTTCCCACCCTGAGAGTGCTGAAACTGACCCAGACCTCATATCCTGATCTGTAACGACCAAGTCGGTTTATATTTTATCCTGTTTGATGAGCTCTGTGCCATGACCCGTCGGTTCCATGAAGCGATTTTGTTTCATCTTTCTTATCATCAGCTACGGTTGCATGTGCATGCGTATCTCTGGATGATGATGGAAATGTAAGAAAACCGAGAGAAACCGTTTGGATTTATGTAGGTACAATTACGAAGTTTTAGAAACAATTTCATTGACCCATGTTACTGCCACAATCTTGCCCGACATTAGAGACGAAGAGAAGCGAAAGAAAGTTATGCCAGATTGATTCCATGATTTGGATTACAACCATTTCTTTCTGAATGTCATGATTTTGCATGGACAAAAAAAGGAGATGCACGTTTCTTGCCATGGTGTTCAATACAAGACACCTCTACTCACAACTGTCTGGTCTGACAGATATGATTTTGAGGATCATTTGCTGAGTGTTGCTTCCAACAAGCAAGCAAGCCAGATCTTGGAAGTTATAGTCAGACATGGATTTCACTTGACAAACTGTTGTGCTACTCATTATTCAATCTGCAGATACAACTGAATCATCGGAACTAAGGCTAATTGTTTTATCATAGACAGACGAGTGATGTTGGAAATGATTATAGGAAGATTGATTTGTGTGTGTGGGTACATGAGATATGGTATTACAAGGCAACAGCATGCGGGAAATGTGATCTCTTTTTTTGGATTTCGTAGACATTAAGCATTCTTCTCCCGCATTTTTTGTTCATTGAATTCAGTTGGAAGGGATAGCTGACACGGAAGCAGGACATCATGTGGAAGGGGAGAAGAACAATGAGACAGATGTTTCACCAAAGAAGCAATTGGGAATGAATTGATGAGGTTTAGACTCTGAGTTCAGAGCACAAGATTTGCAAACAGACGAGGCCGAAGCTATGGATTCCGAAGAGAGATTGATCGGCCTCGATGGCGACGAACCAGCCGGCGAGAGCCCTTGCGACCAAGGTTTGGTTGGGGACATGGGTCAGGCTGAGTTCGTCGAGGCTGAACCTATCGATGGTCCTATCATCGTCATCATCGATCTCATCGTTGTAGATATCCTCGACTTCTCCGATGATCTCATGTTTGAGAGTATCGAAGAGCTCACTGGTCTGATCTTGCAATCGGACGATCGTTTCTCGTTTGAGTCTCCGATCAGACGACGAGCTCAAGATCACACCGACGATGGCTTCCATCTCGCTCAACCTCGATACACCGTAGTTTGACTTGGTTTTGTTCAAACTGTTTTGTTGACAGATCTTTGAGAATTCTTGACCAAAGGCTTCCAGTAAGCGTTCAAACTCGTCCCTCCAGAGCGGATCAGGAAAGTCGGGCATTCCACGGGCCTGTAAGACACTCTTGAGCCTTCGCGTTATCTTTCGATTCCGATCTAATTCTTCTACTTCTAGCGTTCGTTGTCGTCGATTTCTCCCTGGGATACTTTGGGGTAAAAGTCCATGTGATGGACCAGATTCAAAAAACTCCACTCGCTCCGACGGGATCGCTCGAAATAACCTTCCCAATACTTTATCAGACTCGTAGTATCTCTCATTGCCCTTCTTGTGAACATTGAGCATGTACTCTGGACACATGAAGTCAGGTTTCGCAGATTCCACTTTTGGTAAGTCTTGGATCGAGACTGGAACTCTGTTTGTAAGTGGAAAAGTTAGCTGGATATTCAATCAAAGAGATAAATCGAAAAATCAAGCCACGAACCCAGTCTTTGGATAATCGACGGCTTTTGAATGCAACTCGGCCAACTTCAAGCAATCCGGATGCAGGGTGCCAAGTGTTTGCTGATCTGCAATCTGAAGGTGTCGAGTGGCGATTATTCCAACAAGATCACTGGAGATATAGTCCAAGAAAAACTCGATTCCATCAAGAATGCTGTGTAATGAAAAGAATCAAAACGCAGAAAGCTAGATATTAGACCTGGAACAAATAACAGAAACAAGGTGGAAGAAGGTTTTGATGCTCATTATGCTCACGTGCAGGGCTGTGGGAGGAGTATCGGTTGTATTGGAGAATAGCTGCCAGGGCTGCAGATATCTTTCTGGAATGGGATCATCTGTGGGTCGGTGATCAGGGAATAAAGATCTCCATCTAAGTCACCTCCACCTAAACAAGATGGCAAAGATCTTTTCCCTGGACAAGGGCAATCCATAAAAGTTGTCAGATTTTTGTTTTCTGGGATCAGCCAATTGTTTCACTTGCCTATGACTGAAAAGACCACACAGTTGACCAGGGCGCCCAGTTTCTCAGATCCCGGCGGAGGCCTGCCTATCGCATGAACAACTTGAACGTCTCCAGGGTGAATGGAAGGTGATCTACTGATGGCTATCTTCCCAGACAAGTATTTTCTGGGCTTCCCCTTTTCTTGAACGCAAGCGTAAATCTGGCCTTCTTGCAAGCAGAATTCTTCATCGGCGACGCCGACGAGGGTATAGCTGCCTTCGAGAGGTATCCTTGCACGATATTTCAAGTCGCGCAAGCATTCGATAACAGCCAAGTCCAAGCAATCATCGATGAAGGTAGACCGGACCTCATCCGGATTATCCGTGCGCATCAAGCTCGAGAAGCGTTTCAAGATTTTGGGGAAGCTGCTCGAGAAGCCTAATCCAGCTTTTTCCATGAGTTTCGCCGATTGTCGAAACGATTCACGAGAGCGCTCGATCGACCGGACGGTCTTTTGTTGGGCAGTCATGAACACATGACTGGGGATTTTGAGATCTTCGAGAATCTTGATTAGTGGCCGATTCAGGAATGATGGTAATGGTCGTCTGAATGAGCTGGCAATGTCGAGTGTGTAAGAATCCGCGTCGAATTTGCTCATCGAAGGCCTTAATCCGACAATTTCCCCCGCAAGAGTAGGATCGATCGAAAGCATGCCTTTGGACAGATCCAGAAGCGTTAAATAATGATTCAAAAAAAAAAATCATTCAAGGAAGGACTGCTGGATGAGAATATTCTTAAAATTCACCTTTATAACCACCGAGACGGATTTGGTAGCAAGAAGAGTTAATTGCATTCCGGCGCTTCAAGACCATCATCGTGCCCAAGAGAGCCTGCTCAACCTGCCTGGCCAAAGATGGGGAAATGGTACCCACTCCATCGGTGAAGACGGATCCATTACGTTGGACATCGGGGATCTTTCTCAATTGAGAGGGGGCCAATGTGACTGCCTTCTGTGTCGTTGTGAAGGCTTGAGCGATTCGAGCCATATAACGGGCTGGTATTCTATTCCTATTATCCAAGCGATGATGTCAATCATGTGTGGGGAACAGTATAGCTGAACGGAAAGCTCTCAAAAGTACGACAAACACTAGTGAGAAAGTTCCCATACGACTTCGAATCTTTTCAGCGCTCATCACTGCGCCCTTATGGACGAATGGACAGACAAACCAAGCCTGATGGCATTTCAAAGCTGATGAGGAATATCCCAGAAACATGAATCGGCGTCCAGCAACGTACAGGCCATCGACTAAGAAAGGGCGATAACGTTGTTTCAAGAATGTGCGTCCATCAACCTCGCGATCGTGATGATAGTTGGAGCCGTCCTCGTCGCGAATAGCTACACGAATGAACGCGCTATTGTAGTCGTACAACCTGAGAATACTGTTACTCTCTTCAGGTAACGGGCCCTCGAGGATCAGGGTGGTAGGGGTGATGGTTACGGAACGACATTTGAAAACATTGTCAAGACGCTCTTGTCGATCGAACAAGTTCTTCTTTGATTTCGAGCTACACCTTTCGCGTGCGGCCTGAAATTTCTGAACGAGTTGATCGTCAGAGAAGGAGACGGTTTGATTTTGTCGATCGATCTGCTGCTGTCCAGTTTGGTCTTGGCTCAAATCAGAGGCCAATCGAATCAAGACTCGCTCAGCTAAGGTGGGTTCCATGTCCTTGACCAATCCTCCAAGTTGAATGATTTGGAGTGGGTTCAAGATCAAGTTGTACAACAAGCTATCGAGTTGAAAGGCGACAGCCAAGTCGAGACGGGCATTGGTCGCGTTGACTTGAGCCAAATTGGTGGGAGTGTAGACAGCATTGGACTCTACACCGCGTTCAAGGTGGATGACTCTTGGTAGAACGAAGCGATAACGTTGGCTTAAGAACTTTTCGCATTCTTTCTCGTTAGGAAAATTCAACTTGATTACATGTGATGCAAAGGCAATCACACGCCTCTGGTCAGCGTCAAACCCGATCTGACGGGACTTAACTATTTGAGTACTAAGCATAGCTGCAAGCGAGTTCTAAAAAGAGAACGAAAAGAAACACGCTCGAAATCCGTCAGAGAGAGAACCTTCGCTTTGGCCAGAGGACGGCTTTATTTACAGGAAGGTAAGGGGATGGCTGTCAGGATGTAGAACTTACAAGATCATCAATGTTGAAATGAGGACCAGAATGAAAGGTAGGAGGATATTCGGTGAAAAGCAAAACTGAAGATGAGTGAGATTCGATTCGTTTGACATTCTTGGAATGAATCATTGTGAACTGATCGATGACGTTATTATGAACCCGGAGGACGGTGATCTGAGCAGAAGAGTGATCGATAACGATCGTAGCTGGATCTTTGTCACGATTCCGTTGATTGTCGATCAATACGTTCTGGTCAACAAACGGATTGAAGAAGGATACCCGATATTCTGATCTGAACGAGGCATCCTTCGAGAGGTAATCCTGGCCACTCAATCCACCGAATTCGATTGACGCTAGATGGATCCGGTCATGGATTGATTTTTGACGCTCTAGATCAAGCCTGCGCACCTCTAAGGGCGAGATAAACGAGGTTTCCTTGAGCTTTTGAACCAAGGCCGGAGTGGGGGCCTTGATCTTGCTGTCTCCTTTACCACTGAGATGGGTTTTCGCTTGAGCGAATTCGACCTTGTAGGAGAAACCAAACTGTTGTGGGGAGGACTTGCTGACAAACTCTAGGAAACGTTTCCCAAATTCGATACTGGGGAAGGTCAACCTCCATGACTGATGGATCGGATTGTTCAAGAGATCAGATTGCCTGGGTCGGCGGAGAGGGTGGCGTTTGTTGTTGCGGCCTCTGTTTTGAGTGGGATCGAATACGAAGAAGCTCAGATCGAAGTTGATGGGCTCCTCGCCAGCTTGATGAAGAGGTGGCTGATGGGCGATGTTGGAGATGAGCTCGATCAATCGATATCGAGTAGCATCTTCGTTGATTTGGTTTGGGTAGTTTGTGATTGAGATTTCCATCTCGAGTAAAGGTTCAGTTCGTTCTACACCTAAACCACCTTCATTCGTCCCTTGGATGCTGGGATATTTGAAGTGAGTTAACTTCTATGGCCGGGATATGTAGTATCTATCCGACTTATGTAGCCAGGGCTTTCTTATTTCAGAAGGGGTACTTTGATGCCAGGCCCCTGACGATAGATAGACGGATATTCTCCTCAACAACGCCTGATCATGTTGAACGGCTACATATGGATAGCAAACGAGGGAGCCAAGAGTCAGTATGATGAACGAAGCAAGACTTGCAGGGTGAAGCGTTTCTCCAACAAAGGAAGCCGGTAAACACGTACATTCATACTGGTTGGGGAGCGATGGCCGATGTTTCCCGTTGTACTGACCTGGGTCACCTGTGTGGGTGGGAGGGCATCTTAGAATGGGGCCGCATCTCCGAATCTCCGACCCATCGGCCAAACATAGATATATTTGTGCCAGTCCATTGGCCCGTACTCCGAGTCCGATAGTCCTCTTCCTTCCTCTTCCTTCGCTGCCGAATTCTACAGTCTGGACCCGAACTGCCGACACACTTCCTTGCTTCTCGATTGTATGTACATGTCGACTCGTCGAGTCGAGAATTCTCGATCGTCCATTCAATCACCCAGTCTCTACTCTCTCATCCCATCAAATGCCCTTCCGCCTGTATGTACAGTTGCGCGCGGCATTGTACTGTACAGGATTTTGGGATGTCCGAATGGTCGGGACCCAAAATTTGGAAAAATTTGATTTTTTTTGTTACACGGCGGGACGAGTTTGACGCCCGCAGGGCAGCAGTTCAGGTGTCTGCTCGACTCTGTTTGACCCCGCGGCTGATGACGAGGTGAGTACGGGGCGCACGTGTGCCGTCAACAAGACAGTTCAATGTCTGGTATTTGTCGGACCTCGGTCACACCCGCGTGCGGTCCCACTACCAGTTTTGGGACCTTGGTGGTCATCCCATCGGCACCTCATACGACTAGATGTCCTATAACTCAAGTCCATAACTTTGTGTACTGACTGCTCGGGCAGGGTCGAGAGGATCATTTACACCACAGAGAGTAGCCGGTCGGTAGTGAAGGTTGCGATTGGTCTTCATGACCTTTGGGGCAACAAGTCAACCGACAGACTGAGTGACCAATCTGGGTCGGGAGGGTCGACCGATGGCTCACTGCTCTCAGGCATGGCATCGGACAATCATCCAACGATCTGGGACTCCTGGAACCGACCGCCGGTTCCCCGACACCTTTCACACTCACGCAAAGGGGGGCTTAACGGGGTGCGGACGACCGGGGGGTTTTGGACAGTTCATCGGGGTTATTGGACTATTCAAATGATTCGCAATCACAGTCATATGGGTAATTCAGGCAGCTTAGGCAATAGGCTTAGCGATAGATAGCGATAAGCGACTAATCAAGAGAAACAATTACAAATCTGTAGGCAACAATCGTATCGGCAGACGGGGTAATCGAGGCGCTTAGCTTTATGACTATGTAATCGACAACGGCTGAAGGCCCACGGTGAGAGCTATCAGGGAAGAGCAGCTTGGATAATAGGGGTTTAGTGATAAGATATCAATCAAGAAACAAAAATAACACATATGTAGGCAACAATCTCATTGGCAGACGCGGTAATTGAGGTGCTTAAGCTCATAACTGTGTAGTTGACAAGGGCTGAAGGCCCATGGTGAGGGCTATCGGGGGAGAGGCAAAGTCATGTAGAATAGAATTGTCTTTATCTTGAATTTGGGGTTCTTGAAGCGAGCCATGCCCATCAACATGCTGTTGACCAAAAGGGTTGGACAAGGCCAGAGGCTGGCCTGCTTGTTTATTCAAACAAGCCGTCATCTACAACTGCTTCGGCGCTCGAATTACCGAGTTGAAGGGGTCCCCCCTCGGCCCGGGCCATCTCTTCGGCGATTTCTTCATCTGAGGGCAAAGTCACACTGTTGGGGTCGATCTCATGCAGCTCGCGGGTTCCAAAGTACTCCTGGTCTTTACGGATGACCACACGAGCGTAGCTGGAGAACAGTTTGCCAGCCAATGAGCATGAGGCAGGTTGACAGACAGACAAGCAAGCAAGACGACTGACGCATGTTTGTAATTGTCGCTTTGTCTGCGGATGTGCTCCAACTGTCGATCGACCAAGTCCCATTGAGTGATATTGTTGGCTGGGTCCGGGTTAAAGTAGTGGTGAACTACTTTTAATCGTATAAAGGCAATCCTAATCCTCATGGTTGCAGTATATGCTTGTTGAACTGCCTCTACAGTTCTCATTTCATCTCGTCCCCCCATGGCTCGATCGATCTATGGCCAGCAAGAACATTCAATAACAGTTAGAGTGGCATTAGTTAGAGCTCCAGACTCACAATCATAACCAGTTCCATCAAGCTGGGAATGGGGCCATCGATGGGTCGGCGGGGGAACTCTTTGATGTTGGTTAACATCTGCCAAGGTTTGCATTTGGATTAGCCAGTGTCCATGTGTCAGGTGTCAGCAACAAATGCACTTGCAAGATTACGTAGTGAGCCTTGCTCATGCTTTAAGAGGACCTTCATCAAACTCAGGACGCGCTGAGCAGAGAGGTGATTTCTGGGCCAGTCCGCTGGCAGATGGGTGTTCTTGAACTCGGTGGTTTGTTGTTCAAGAAATGCCTGCATGTAGGCAGTTCTTAATACTTTTCTGAACAAACCGTGATGGAGTGGGATCATTAACCTACAGTCAACAACACGAGTGGGGTGCTAGCAATGGGAATCCCTGCAACAGTTTGCGTGCGAGTGTACGCATGCACATTTCCAGTGGAGAGGATTTGGCGAATCTTTCGTCGGAGTATGTCCTGAAGAGGTCGAGGTGGCATCACTCAATGTAGTCATAAAAGGAATGCGAGGTCAAGATGGACTCACACGTATGTCTTGAGAGAAGGAAAAATTCACAGTTGGAGCGGGTGGCAACAAGGGTCGCCCCGGTGGAGGCACAATGGCAAGTCTTTGCATGGTAGATACCATCATCATCAATGAGACTCGCCATTGCTCACCAGGCCTAGTCTGCAACAAAGAATGGAAAATGTCACGTTGCTAGACAGAAGGGTAAGTTGAGTGATTAAAATGGTTCAATCCTCACAGGCAGGAGCCGATGGACGAGCTGCAGATGATTCTCATCCAATTCGATGAGACCTTCGAGCTCATCATTGCCCGTAACAGCGGTACCGGCCGGGCGCAAAGGAGGCCAAACAGCATAGAGGTTTTCCTCATCGGAGGGCCCCTCTTCATCTATGTGGTCATCGCCTGATCCGAGTTCACTGCCAGAATGATCAAGGCGGGGGCCTTGCTCTTGCTCAAATATGTTAGCATAGCCACTGGGGACTTCTTGTGACGTGGCTCCGCGGACATTAGTCCCTTGTGAGGTATTCTGGACACCTCGCATGGGGTTGAAACGACCTAATCATGGGGGCAAATGTGAAAAATTGTCACTCTTGGGAGGCAGGTGAGCAATATCTGGGCTTACCATCACCAATGCTGATGTTCGAGCGATTGTTGTGAGTACGCGGACTGGATTGAGCACGGGTACTTGGCCTGCGGACAGTACCAGCACTGGGGGAGCGACGATGATTAAGTCGATGATTAAGGCTCGCTTGGGGAGACCGGCGAGAGGAGACATTTCGGTGTGACATGATGGACTATTTCAGAGCGAACAAGTTAAAACAGTCAGTTGATGGGGACAGAGACAATGGCTCAATTGCAGGGGAGCAGGAGCAAGATGATCAACCACCAGATATTGAAGAGGAGTTGGGGAGGTGATCGGGCAGGGAAGTGGACTGGGGAACGAAGCGGACGGATGGAACGAGGTGTGCTCTTCTTAAAGTCAAGAGGACTTGAACTTCGTTGCTCTTGCATCCCACCACCCACCACTGGCAAAATCAAATGTGAAGCTTGTCTCAGGGAGAAATCAGTCTCAGACTGTTTCCTAGCATTATGGCCGGCTCGGTCAACGATCTGGTCAACAAACAGGCTCGACAATAGGATACAACTCATTTGAGCACAATTCTGGACCATTCCCTGCCAAGAAGCGAAGGTGATATCACCTGCAAGAGCAAACGATTGACTTAAGAGACACAACTGGGCCTGCACCCACTTGGTGACTGTTTGGTCTCAGATGATTGTCCAACATATAGACCCATTTGTGCCAGCATTAATGCACAAAACTGGCTTGATGACGCCACTCATCAGTCCACTATCGATTGTACCGACTGTGTGGTCTCAGAGAATTGACTGACATCTGGATTCATTTGAGCTAGAATCTGGTCGGTTCGGTCGCCAGAAGGGTACAATGAGCAATGAAAATGCTCATGTGAGCAGCACTGATGAGGACTTTTGGCCTGTGATGTGAGATAGACAGACAAGCTCATTTGTGGAAAGGCCAATTGGTCTCGAATTGAGACAGATTGATTCATCCATGGACACAACAAGCAGCATTCCCATGGTTTGCATTGAACCAGATGGTTCTTGCCAAGTGAAGTGACCCATTGGGGATTGTATGTCATCGACCGATCAGTCTTCAAGGAGCAGCAGGAATTTTGGCCACAATGATGGGGCTCTCTGGAAGGCTTCCGATAAGAGTCAAACAAGTGAAAGTAGGGCCTTGCAGCCAAACTTTGTCCAACTGAAGCAAAGTAGAGTGTCATATCAGGCACCCGGATAGCCACCTCATGTCAATGAACCATTGAACCACAACCCATTTTGGGAGCTGCCCATAGTGACATAACAGCATCCAAAATGCTACCCCCAGGTAATGACCATTTTGTAGAGTATGTCACATTGACTTGAACACCCGATCAACTGATATCATTGATCGCGGTTTTTGCTTAAGATTTTGTTGTAGACCGACGAGAAATTGGTCGAACATACTATAGATGCCTTGTTTGTGTGGGCAGGGCTCCCACCCTGAGCTATCTGGACCACATGCGGACTCAGACACATCGGAGAAGCGTGGCAGAAAAAGAGGCTCGTGAAGCCGAGTGGGCAGCCCAGGACGCAGGGGCAGGGGCTCCACAGGCCAGTGTTGAGCCAATTCCTTTGGACGTGTCAAACACTGATGAGGAGGTGTTTGACTCAATCGGCATGGTGGAATCAACCACCGAAGTGGGATCAGAATCTGAGTATGATGACCCCTTTGCCACCGTAGACCAGTCTGAATTGACTATGTTGGATGGGGATGAAGAGTTAGCAGAGTCAGCTGAGGCCACAATCGATTGGGACGATTACTTATTCGAGGCAATCAACCAGTTGGTTCCGGACACGGTCCCAAAGGACTTTGTCAAAAAAAGGCGGATGCAGGTACCAAGCGATTCGTGGTATCCATTCAAGTCCAAAGAGGTGATTGGCTCATTTGACCGGGCCATCCAACACTGGTGGGAAGAGCTGATCAGAACCTCATTTACAGTACTTGATTGGCTCGCTCATTGTGGGATACATGCACCACATAATGTCTCGAGACGTGTATGCTCTCCTCCGTCTCATCATCTCATTGACCGGTTGTCAACTTCCACACTGGACAACCCTACGTCAGTCACGAGAAAACATCCGTAAGATGCTTGATGTTGAATTGCGCCAAACCACAAGTGTGTTCAAAAACGAATGCTATACACTTAGTGTGGCCCAAATGCTGAGCCATGTACGATTCATCTGTATTGTGCAGCTCTATTATATCCTGACTGAAGTCCATTTTTTTTTGGTTATCTGTCTGACGGGTCCAGGAGCTATCAAATCCCTATGTCCACCCTCACCTCGAGTTTTATCCGGAAGAATGTCATGGTCGGGGTATCTATCGATGCACGCAGGGTTCGAAATGGCTCAAGCACCTATCTCCTGACTTGCGTGTGCAGATGTTTGCGAACAATAAGAAACACTTTTACATATTTGAGCCTGCCCAGTTGATCACCGGGGAAATTGTGGTGCCAACCTTCATCTACAAGGAAGGTTTGGAACTGTACGCGAAGTGTGCCATTCCCGAGATGGTTGAGGTACCATGCCAGACCAGCAAACACCTCCAGATCCACTCTGCATTGGAATTTGACTCAGACCTCCTGGTTCCCATCAATGTTTCCAAGTTTGCACTAACTTATGATGAGATTGACATGGGTGCCAACGGAATGCTCACCTCGTTATGCTCCAATCAACTGTGGGGTGAGTGCCACACATCCTGCTAGGCTTCAGCTGCATGACTGACATGCTGCACATCAATTTCTGTAGAGATAGGGGGAGCAACCACGCCGCGCCCACTGCCCAACCCCTGGCGTATTAGAGCTGCTGGGAAGGTGATCCGTCATATGCCGATAAATCTTTATGCAGACGACACCTCCGGAAATCTTTCCAAACGTTGGAACAAACATATCTCATTTTACTGTACTCTGGCTGGCTTACCACCTCAATGCGCCAAAATGCAGTACAACTGCCGTTTTTTGGCCACCTCCAATCAAGCTGGAGTGTTGGAACTTGCTGAACCAATTGTGGATGAGATTAAGTGAGTGTCTCTCCCAAGCAGAACCAAATCCGTTGCTCAGCTAACATATTCCTTGGCATGGGCATTTCCCTAGTGACATTGCCACCAATGGATCCACTGCATATGATCCTGCTCTTGAGGAGGATGTCCTGGTGATGTCCCTCGTGTTATGCTTTCAGGCCGATTCCCCAATGCACGCCGAAGTTACCAACACCTTTGTTCCCAATGTCTGTCTCAATCCTTGCCGGATGTGTTCATTACACTTGGCCAAGCTGGATGATAAGCGGAAGCAAGATTATGTCCGGGCATTTGTTCACATTAACTCATCTGGTGATCATGTGAGACATTCTTTCCCGGATTCATTTAAATGTCACCCGCTTGCTAAGTATCTGAAACATTTAGAGCCCAGTTCCCAGTCGATCTTGGGATGATATCAAAACACAGACCTATCAGTTATGGGAAACGGCTCAGGACGGGGTGAAATGCCACTTTGAAAATGGCGAGAAGGAGCGAGGAATCCGGGATACAACCAATCGAGCCTTTGTTGAAATCATTCAAGACAAGACCTGCCCTGAACTCCACAATGATGTCAAGGCCCTAGCCGAAAAGGATGTTGAACGCTTGTTCAATTCTATGTTGAAATTGAAAGGTCTGTGTTGCATTACAGCAATTCCCCAGGGTGTACTGCTGAACCACCAGAGGATTGTGACATTGATTCCATGGAATTCTTCATAGGTTTTGATGGCTGCAAGGACACTCCTGTCGAAATTCTTCATGTCTTCCTCCTGGGAGTAGTCAAATACATGACCCATGACTTCATGAAAAGTTTGAAACCACCTCAACTCGTGGAGGTATTGGCTGCCTGGCAGGCGTTCAATGTCAACTCCCTCAACATCGAATCCATCCAATCCAAATATCTATCTTCCCATTTCCGGTCGTTGGTAGGGAAAGACTTCAAAATCATTCTGCAGACTGCGCCCTTTGTTCTGTACCGCTTCATGAACGAGAGTCAAATTACCTGGTGGAATTCACTTTTGACGCTCGCAACTTATATCTTTGAAACTCGAATAAATAACATGTCCGAGTATTTACATGACTTAAAGAAACACATCAACATATTTCTATGCCATTCGATCCGCAGATCTGCGCAATGGGTGAACAAGCCCAAATTCCACATGCTGTTACACCTCCCGGAATCAATTGAGCGTTTTGGACCAGCATGCCTTTTCTCCACAGAAAACTTTGAAAGCTTCAATAGCGTATTGCGAACAGCTTCGGTTCATTCCAATCGTTCAAGTCCTGGGCGAGATCTGGGCCTGCGTTTCTTAAACTTTGATGCCCTGCGTTTGATACTATCTCGTGCCAGAATCTGTAACCGTCAAACGAATAAACAGTTCTACGCTGCCGAATGTGTCTCACAAATTTTCAGCCAAAACTGTCTGATTCAGAAATCAATGGGTTATAATCGTTGTCTATTGGGCTCCTCATCGTCATTCCCTACTCAAATCCCAACGCCCCTGACCAAAGCCGAGAAAGTACCGATCCCCGAATATTTCAATCAATTTCCTCATTCACAAGTCTCCCAAGTCAGCCAGCTCCGGTTGAGCGACAAGGATGTGTTGCGGAAAGGCTTCTTCTGTGTCGTACGCCTTCTCACCTCCCTCCTTAGCAGTTGATCAACAATCGAACCCAATGGATTACAAATCTGACATGCTCATTCATCCCTAAACTAGCTCACCCCCGGTGGCGATTCATCGAAGCAGGTCATTGGACGCGCTGAGTCCTTGTGGCAAATTAAACAACCCCATCGCACAAGATTTGTGATCAATCTGACACATTTTTGTAAGAAAGGCATCAGTCGATTCTACAGAATGAGGATTCTCGAGAAAACTGGCAGCCATGATTATTACTCGGTCAGCGTAAGTCACCTTCCAGATGTTGCCGAGACGGGGGACTTGGCATTGACCAAAAGTGATTGACTTTGTGTACTTTTAAATGTGCCATCCCATCCATCCCATCAGGACATTAAAGCATGTCTCAACATCCAGCACGACTGCAACTCAGGAAGATGTCAAATCATTCCAAACAATGGATCTGATTCCAAAAAGGGTGAAGGTGCCCCCCCGGCCAACATCCTTGTTCATTCAGATGATAAACAGTTTATACTAAATTCGGCTTCATTGCACTCAGTTGTAGCTCATCGACAGCTGGCATCCTTTCACTTGGAGCCAATATCACCGTTGACTTGGAAGAGCGCCATTGCCGAAGGGATGAAGGAATGGGCTTCCAGCACCAAAGCACGTCAGACGCAGAAAGAGGCAGCGGCAAGTAAGATTGCTGCAGTTGTGGAAGCTTAATGATATATTGCCTCATCTGGATTGCTGTTTGACTGGTACCCATTTGGCTTGCATGATGCCAACAAACAATTTAGTCATCGTAATTACGCTTTTCTGATAGACTTTACCTGACTTTACACTAGATCAGTGCCCCCATCTACACGCCAATATGTAATATACAAACATATATAAGTATCAGTTTCAACTGTCTAAAGAGTTAGCAAATCAATAGTGAGTTCAGCAACTGCACATGAACCACGATGTCATGTGATATGCAACTAGTAGTGATTTTGAATCAACACAACAAGACTCATAAATAATAAAGCTATCAAGTGTGATAAAGGAGGCTATCTGCTCAGGCTAAATCAACCGATTTTGTTTGTTTGGATATCAGGCTGAGACTAATAGTCAAGGATAAAAGGAGCTATGTATCTGCTCAGGCTAAATCAACCGATTTTGTTTGTTTGGATATCAGGCTGAGACTAATAGTCAAGGATAAAAGGAGCTATGTATCTGCT